GAGAAAAGAAGAAAAAGGTGAAGAAATAGTCGCATTTGGTCTCATCCTGTAGGATTGGGCCTTGGTGCGTGATCTACAAAAAATAGCACAGATGTTAATTTATGGTCTTCTTGTGCAATCGAATTGCACTTACGCTTTCTGGTTGTCTTGCTATCAGAGCGAACCTAGGACGCTTGCTGGTGGTCTGATTATTGAGGATACCAAAGTCGGAACGGGTAAGTTTAGGATCATCATGTTGTTAGGGCAGATAACCTGACAATGTGCGATAGGGCCTGTGGCCAAAGCAGGGAAGAAGATTGGAATGCGGTATATTGGTCGCCTTAAGAACGGGAAGATCTTCGACTCCAATACCAAGGGTATGCTATCTGTGTTACCATTTATGTTCGTACACATTAACCTTTCTACAGGTAAACCGTTCTTCTTCAAACTTGGTGCTGGAGATGTTATAAAGGGCTGGGACGAGGGAATTGTGGGCATGAGCGTCGGGGGCGAACGTGTCCTCACCATTCCTGCCGCCAAAGCCTACGGCAAGCGCGGGGCTCCTCCCGACATTCCGCCTAATGCTGAGCTTACCTTTGGTGAGTCTACTCTTTTGTTAGGTTGGGACACGCACTAATTGTCGCGGCCGCAGAGGTCAAGCTCGTCGAGATCAAATAAGCCGGAGGATTTGAGGGGTTGAGGCGATCAACGATGTATTAACATGGACATTTGCTATTTACAGTGCTCGGCCAAATTGATAGGGAGTTAATGCTACAAGTATTATAGCTACCAGCAGCTGATAGTAGGTCGTGACAAATAAGCACCTATTTCAGCGACAAAGGACCTGAGCACGACAGGCGATAGACGAAACGTTGGGAGATCCTGGCCCAACTAAATCGCCTTCCCCAAGCCCATACTGGAGATACGAAACAAGAGTCCCTTGCTCAACGTGTTTCTTGCCTTTTTTTAACGGAACACATTATATTGCGCATATATCCATAACGCTTCGACAAGTACAACGCTACATGAAGTCGACTCGACTTTACATGATACATGCTACTAATATGGGTTGTCGCTTGACTCATCGGTAATGCCAGCCTTTCTCCCTTTGCGGGACTTGTCTAACGCCTTGACCCGCAGGTCCTACTGGTCCCCCGCCACCATTGGGAGGCCTGCCGTCTTTAGGCGGTTGGTATATTGGGTAAGTGATCTGTCCTCCATCGCCGCCAGCGCCTGGCGGGTTACGAGCGATAGCGGAGAAGCGGTTGCAGCCGGCTTGTCGGCCCTTGCACCATGTCCTGTACTCAGCATAATCAGCAGCAGAAACACAGCTACGTAGTAACCAGTATCACTCAGGGTATTCATCCGACCTATATAGATACGTATTTAGTAAATCGCAGCAACCGACAAACACCAGAGATACATACATCTCGTATAATCAATTAGTGTATATAATTAGCTAGAGTTGTGGTATCGAAAAAATAGGGGGTACAAGTAATGAACAGCTCGATTTTGGAGATGAGATTAACGGGTTTAGACCTTCACTATATATATAAGTTGTAGAGCAAAACTAAAACCGATAGGCGGGAAGGTGTACCCTTAGCTACGAGTCGCGGCGCTCATCAGAGCTACCATATGCTAATCAATCGGCCATAATAGTACGTCTGATACGCACGTACGATACGAGAACCGTTGGATGCGCGGATAAATTGACAAAAAATCCCAAGGTGGCACGATGAGAAGGGTTGAGATTGTTTGTTTCGGCCAAAAATCGATGGAGTTGATTGGCCACGAGCCAATGGTTTATACAAACCCGGTTAGCCATCTGCTGGTACAGATTCGGGTAATAGTCCTGGAGTGCTGTTTGGCGCCTCGGTGATGAGGGATGGAGATCACGCATATGTGTTAGGCTCAAGCGAATGAGCAGATTGCAAATCATATATACCTCGTGAAACAATTAGAGGAATACTCGTGCATATAATCAAACAAAGTGTTTAAAGCGCACTGAAGTAAGTCAGTGCATTTAACATTGTTTATGACAAAACCTTCTTGGGCTTGCCTAGTCAGTAATTCCAGCAGCTTTGCCTTGTACAGGAGCTATCGTCTACAGAAAAATTTCACACTCTTTTGAGTAAAAAGTTTTGTTCTGCGCTGGGCGGTAATAGATCGCCTCCATCGAGTCGAGTACCAGTGTGGGCGTATAATCTGTATCATCGATGTAGGCAGTCTTTTACTGTGTACGTTCCCACGAAACAAGGCAGCTTGATAATCGTGTACCATATTCCCTAGCTGGTGCGGAGTGTAGAACGCTCTGTAGAGGAGGGGGTTGCAAAGCCTGTAGGTAGACTGGTGATGTGCAGTTGCTTCTGTATTTCACGCATTCGAGAATTTGACCTATGGATTAACTGAAAGAGCAACGAGTTTAATCGCTTGGAAAAGATAACTTAGAAGTGCTGCCTGAGGATTCTTCGAAACCCCGAACGGCCTGCTGAAACCCAGCGACAAGACTTTGGGGCGGGAACATGGACAGATCCATACAATTGTACAATGTTACATGAGAATTCAGATAAAATAAATCGAGACCTCGTTATCTAACCTAGCAAAGCGACACTCATTTAAGACGTATGAGTTGAGCATACTCTACTTGTTGACGTCCTGATGCACAGAATACGGGACATACATTTGGTCTTTGTTCTACTTGGCCGGTCCTTTAGGGCCTCCGGCTGGCGGTTGAGGCGTGTTGAGAGGACGAACCTCGGCGTTGTTTTTACCTTTGCTCCATGTTCTATAGTACCACGCAGTGGTTAGCGACGGAGACGAGTATTAAAATGATCTCGTATTTACTCTGGGTATTCGTCAGACCTAAGAGGTCGGTAATTTAATAACAGGATAGTGAGCATGAAAAGAGTTGAAATACATTATGCTTGGGTCAATCTGAGTCAGAAGTCTACGTGTAGCAAGGCGGATTGATGCGGCACTGGGGAAGACATTGATGACATTTTATACTATGATGGCGCTTCCGTTTGCCATACCCACGTCTGCGTGACGCTCCTCAAAGCTGTGGGCCACGCTCATCGATGATACGGCAGTGGACAAGCCCTATTTTAGTCCTATTTCCGATGAGAGTGAAGCGAAGCGATAAGCTCTTAGCTATACCCCGTATGAACAAACGATATGACCCCGAATGTCAGCTGATAACATGTAGGCTATGCTATGCCACGAGGTGCTCTGTGCCATTCAGCCCCAGCTTCAAACATCAAAAATAGGCTTTCCCTGATGTAGTAGCCTGGTAGCTTCATACTTGCTTCTAGCAACACGTTCTAGCACATAGCCCGCAGTAGGTATACAGAGCCAGGTCATTACAGACTTGGAATATGTCATCAAACCGAACCAGCCACATGATCTGAAATTGGAGCCCAATGTTAAGACAGTTTGCCTTTCAAAGAGATGTAAGCGACTTCATTGACTGGGCCGACTGTGGGCACCCTTTCTGTGAAGGCCGGCTCCTAGAGCACCCGGATTGGGTAGCTCCGGATTACCAACAGGCTTAGTGGTAGTGTAGGTTATCTTCCCGCCATTATCAGGGCCAAGGCATGTTCCCTCAGACGTCCTGGCTTTGGAAGCTGAAGCGGGTTTTGTCTGTCGACTTTTCGACCATGTTCTGCATATGTCAGATCCCTAAGTGTCAAACAATTGTATATATATCGAGCTAATTACTGTGGATATTCCTCAGACCTATAGGATGAGCACCTGTCAGATATGGCATAACATGAATATTAGGCTCACTTACATATTATCTGTGCTTGTACTGTAAACCCACGCTGCTAGGTGTAATGGAACGAGTTCGTGAGTAGAGACATGGGTTATTGATGATACTTATATACAACAGTTTGGCCTAGTAGAATATAGATTCACTGACGCATAGGCGGTGAGCGCTCGCCAATGCTGTCGAGTGCCGATCCATCACGCCCCTGTCCAGAGGATCGTTGCTAAGAGGCCTGCAAATGGAACATGGTCCACGTTTCCAGTGCCTTGTCAATTGTATAATTTTAGTAGTAAGAAGAGGCGCTAGAGAACTGCTACTCTATCTCCAGTTGTGTAGAATTTACGAACAGAACGATACCAAGTCGTAACGGCGATGTTCTGGGCATGTGGATGAAGCCGTTTCATGATGGTGTGCGCGGTAAGTGCATAACATCGAAGCGCTTGATTGGCCTTCGCCGTTCTGTTGAGGGCATGCGCTTGTTTGTCGAGTTGTGCCATCGATGGCTCAAACGCGGACCAGATAGTGGGCATGAGAAATGATAGCGCTGGTTCTGGACTCAATAAGGGGCTGGTACCGCATGCAGCCATAGTGTGAAACACTCTCTTGTTCGATATGACTGTGCAATATCTGGTTTGTTGCCGCAGGGCTGAGAGATTCCAAGTTAGTTGGAGTACTCTACCCGTCATAATTGTGACCAAATGTAGTGTCACAACACGGTGTGGTTATGGTTAAATTTATGACTTGTAGTGTCACATTTTACCCGTGTGGTTAAGCCAGTACCAAGGTGTCACGCTTACTCAAAAATAGGATGGATTCGATTGCCAGATCCAGATATGTGGGAAGCGAGAAAACGGGACAAATGAGAGGTTTATTTTGTGAGGCTCTGCCGGGGCGAGGGCGGAGGGGGAATCAGCGCACTTAAAATGAAATTTGGTGTGTGCATTCGATTTCCCTCGCATACATATCCCGGTCGGCGTGGTTAACCTCTGCACAGGCCACGTCACAGAACCCATGCTGTGGTTGAGGAAATACCAGTTTTTGTGACGCGGCGCGGGCACCGTGTGGTTCCAATTATGACGAGTACAGTATATCCCAATGATTCGTACGCTTTTGCTCGATCACTTATCGCGCTGCAGATCCTTCGTTCAGTCAGACGCGGACCCCACATGTGGCGATTGTGCTTCAAAGCTGCTACAAAAAGGAAAGGTTAAGATTGTAAACTATTTGGGATGTTATAAATGAAGCTTGAGATTACGCGTAGGTAGTATAATGGTTATTATCTCGGTTTCCCAATGTCTGGCCTAGTGTATACTGGGAGTCAAACTCGTAAATAACTTTACGTACCGAGGAACCGGGTTCGATTCCCGGCCTACGCAGTCTTTTTCTGATGTTCTCAGCCTCTGTAATGCGGTCAAGTCGCAAAAATCGCTCTATCATGCGCCACTCGAGGCTAGTGGCGATATGGTCGAGAGTGTGCAGCATTTTCGACCGTATCTCAAATGTATTGACTGCAAACTACGGGTCCACTTGAATGAAGCGTGTCCCGTTCAACCGTGCCGAGTCGACTGAGTGCACAGCCACTGCGGTTCTCTAACGCTAAATGGATAGAGCCGAATGGCTTTTGATTATGAAATAAGCAGACTCTCGCCTGACTAGAACGATCACCAGAATGGCAAACGCAGTGGATCCAAACCACTATCTCATCGAATGTGAGTGTTGAAAATATATTTTTTCATTTACTGATTTCTTCCAGACACTCGGCCGGGCTCGAGCGAAAAATGCAACGGACCGCCACCTTGTAATGGATCTACCATTGTGCTCGGTGATCTGCGATTCGGCACCAAGAAATACAACAATAGGATCAACGACAAGCTACAGTACAGGCAGGTACTAACTATCGCCTGATGAATTGCTCTCACATGGGGTCCAGACATTGGGGATGTGTTACACCCGATATCCTCTACGACCTCGCATTTCTCGATGATGTTGACCGGATCCCAGGTGTTGACAGGCTCAAGTATGGCCTCTGTCAGATTTTGATATATGGAGCCTAACCGGTTGTCATTCTAGCCCGTCCGACCGACTGAAAATTCATACCGCGGTCGAGCGACTTGAAGTCGACAAAGCCGACATCCCAGTGACCGCCAGGAAGCCTGTTGTGGCCAAGCCGTCTTTAGCGTCTGCTTCTCAAATGGCTAGGCCCATTGCTCGTCCATCTGCAGCACCGTTTGGGATACATAGAGTGAGCGCGCCAGCACCACCGCCGACCGCCCCCAAAAAGCGCAAGGCGCCAGCCACGAAAACCCCATCCCTGCCCACGCCAGCCCTGACCCCAACCTCGTCCCAAGCATCCTACTCGCAGCAGCCCTACTTGCAAGCGTCGCAGTACGACCAGCATCGCCCGGCCGCCGGTTATTCCGGCCAGATTACGATGACCCAACAACAGCGTGATGATGCGGCTTATTTGGATGATGACGATTATGATGAAGAGGAGGCGCAATACACCGATATGTATTTATCCTTTCAGTCACAGGTTGTTGGTATCCAATACTATGATGGGCTTGGTGAGCAAACTACGCTTGTTAGCAATATCCACTCACGCCACCCTAGTTGGGCCGGGAGAACAAGTCAATTTGGTCCGCGAGCCGACAAACAAATATGACCGGTAAGACGCTTTTATAAGTTTACGATATATTGACTCACACAATCGTAGGAACGCGATCCAAGTCATGAATATGCGCTTGAAACAGGTGGGGCATATCCCGAGACAAAGTACGTTTTAGTTCCCGAACACGGGCGGTCTCTGACATAGCCTCAGCCGCTGCGAACCTTGCCCCACTCATCGACCAAAATCTTATACTGGTCGAAGGAACCATGAACGACGGAAATTGCAAGTCTGTTCATAGCGTCCTGTTCTGACTACTGACTAGCTAATAGTGCAAGACCATCAGTATACGCTCAGCCTGTAAGTTGTTGCCATCCTTTCTCTTTGTTTTTACTGACATATCTTCTAGTACACTAACCATCTATGGGAAACCAGGCATTCGCACGATGCTGGAGCCGTTGCTCACATGGGCTACCCCCGGCAGGCGCGGATTCACTGACGCCATGCGGAGGGAGAGCGGGATCGCGCTTACCCAAACCGCTAGCTACAGCGCTGGCTCTTCTGCTGGACCATCCTACTTGGCTGGTCCTTCAAACAACCCAATGTATATCGATGGCCAGTCGTCCAGCCAACCCCAGCTTGCTCACCAGAGGGCGCTGGAAATGATCGAAGCTCAGCGTCGTGCCAGTGAACTTCGTGACATGCTTGATGGCCTCCAAAAGATTGACGACGAGGGTCGTCGGGCCAACTTTTTGGATGCGATTTATGAGCAGGAGAAGCAGGATATCCTGAATTTGCCCGAACATCCGTCACCTCCTGGCATTGAAGAAGGATCGTTGACCGTAGATCTCTTGAAGCATCAGGTGGGTTGTCACTGATGGACCAGTCATGATTTTGACATTGGATTTCTAGAAACAAGGTCTGCTATGGTGCATCAACCGTGAATCCGCAACCCTTCCCCAGAAGGATGGTGAACCGCACGAACAATTTTGGGAGTATCGCTCCCAGCCAGGTCGAAAGGTCCGTTAGACTACCAGGTGAAATCGCTTTGCTGATAGTTCTGGGTTTAAGGGTTATTATATCAACAGTATGGCGTCTATTTGATATCCCCCCAGTCGCTAACTCTTGCTTCAGTGATCACCAAGACGCCTGTTCCAGTAGACACGCCTCCAGCTATTGGTCATGGCGGCATCATGAGTGATTCGATGGGCCTAGGTAAATCATTGACGTTTTTGGCTCTTATAATCGCCACAAAAAAGACACAACCTGCGGGTTACGATAATCCAACGCTTATTGGTGCGTTAGACGAAACATATACCGTATTTACTTCTAATCTGTCTTTAGTTTGCCCATTGTCGGTCTTGGGCAACTGGGAGTCTCAGATTGCGAGTCACTGCACCCGTGGAGCGCTTTCGCATTATACATATTATTCAGACAAGCGAAACGTCGATTCAGATGTTTTAAAGGCGTATGATGTGGTCTTGACCACCTACCAAACCGTTACCGCCGACTATGCAGCAGTAGGAGGATTCAAGACAACTGGCGAGTTGATGGCCGAATCAGAGAGTCGCACCAGTAAGAAACGTAAAACTGACAAAAGCGCTAAAAAGGCGTTGTTTGGAATCCAGTGGAAAGTACGCAAAATCGACTTCCACCTCGTTACTTTAACTTATTTGGCTTATTAGCGTGTGGTGCTCGACGAAGCTCACCATATTCGGAACCCCAAGGCAAAAATGTCTCAAGCTGCATCGGCATTGAACGGATACTATCGATGGGTATGTGGTATTCATTGTCATAGAATGCTGCTAAGTGTGCTCGTATATGTAGGCAGTTAGTGGAACTCCGATCGTAAGTTGTTTTGTTACTCTGACTAGCTGGAATAATTGATTTCATGTCTGTGTCTAGGTCAACTCCCCTTCGGTACTAAGGCTTGTCTGGTTGTCTGCTGTGCGCAAACTGACGCGATTTTGATAGGACCTTGGATCTCTCCTTACGTTCCTTCGGATGTGCACGCCGCTGGATCAGCTCGGCATGTTCAACAGGTTCCTTTCGCGTCCCCTTTCCAAGGGAGAACTCAACGCTGCCGTGCTCTTGAAGGTATAGTTTTATGTGGGTTTGATGGATGACTTGGCTTACGTGGTCTTTAGCAACTCATGAAGCACATCTCGATTCGTCGTTCGAAAGAGGTTAGCTACTTCCTATTTATTGTAGGGGGTGACCTAAATCCAACTTGACACAGATGCAGGACGAACAAGGCAATCGTCTGGTAGAGTTACCAAAAGTAAGTGGATATGATTATCGACCAGAGCGCGCTCACATTTGATAGGTTACCATTCATGTCACGAACGTCGAGCTTGGCGAGGAGTCCCGTCATATTTATGACACAGTCGAGAGGCTTTCCAGGCAGCGGTTTGTTAGTATGGCGAATGCAGCTGAAGGCGAAAGCATCCCAAATGTCGTTCTCAGCCTGCTTACTCGCATGCGGTATGTTGCTTGAAAATATTGATTGCTCCTTGGCTAATATGGGTGCGCATGTCGGTAGACAAATTGCGTTGCACCCTGGACTCGTGCCTAGTGACTATTTGGACAAGCTGAGGGCTGACGAGGCGGCGGACAATGCTCTTCATGTTGCTGCAATCAATCCTCAAGAGAAAGCGCGACTACAAAGCATTCTTTTCCACGCTGAAGAAGACAGTGAAGAGGCAAGTCGATTCTCATTATTCTATGATGTAATTACTCATGGCTTGCAGTGCGCTATTTGTTTCGACTCGTTGAGGAACCCGAGGATTCTACCAGATGGACATTGTAGGTCAAGTGATCGCAATTTGTAGATTTTACTCACCTCCCCTCTAGATTTCTGCTATGATTGTATAGCCGGCTATATCCAAACTCATGGGGCGGAGGCTACTTGTCCAATGGATCGCCGGCCAATCTCGATGACAGATCTGATCGAACCAGCCCCGCCAACCGATTTAACTCAGGTCCTCCACAAAGATAGTGGGCTCGATGATTTTGGTCTTGCTTCTTCCCCCGGATCTTCCCCCAAGATCGACCGGTTGATCCAGATTCTCAAACTCATCCCCAGTGACGACAAGGCCGTAGTATTTTCGCAGTAAGTCGGTTTAGCTGGTTCGTCTAACTATTTAATGACTATCTGGTTGAATAGGTTCACAACCTTCCTTGAAAAGGTAAGTAGTGTCGCAAGCTATGCCCCTCATACTAATCGCAACGCATAGATTGCCGACCAACTTGAGGCGCATGGTATCAGCTTTGTTGAGTTCAACGGCGCAATGTCAGCTAAAAGGAGGCAAGAGGTGCTGAAGGTGGGTGACAATTCAACTGTTTATGTTCTTCATTCATTCTTGTCGGCGCCAGAGGTTCTCGGTCCCATTAGCGAAAAAATCATCTCGCCGAGTCTCAGCCAAGAAGCAGGCGGAAGGGTCCGATTCCGATTCCGAATACGATGTCTCAAGGGACGACGATTACATTGATGAAGAAGATGGAAGTATCTTTGGAACCCAATCTACTCAATTTAATGCTAAAGGGAAAGGGAAAGCTACAAATTTCGGTCGCTCAAGTGGACGAAATCCTCAAGTCTTGCTTATCTCTCTCAAGAGTGGTGGGTAGAGCTAAATAATGTCCGCAACTTTTCCTAATAGAGTTGGTAGGTGCTACTGGGCTGAACTTAACGGTCGCAAACCACTTGTTCTTGATGGATCCGTAGGTTCCGACCAAAAATTTACTACTCCAGCTCTAACTTTCCGATAGGTG